CCCTCCATAGATATATCTATAACGTAAATAAAAAATATATTTAGATACTGTACAAGTTGCTGTTGATTATTTTAAATTTAATTTAATGCTGAGTCTTTAAGAACTTACTCACCTGAGAATTACTTCGAAAACTTTAGCAGAAGTGTTGGGTTTTACAAAAGTCCTAATACGCTGTTCATTTTCGGTAATTTTCGTTAGTTCTTTTCGAAAGTAAGGCGATCTGTAACGCAATACTGCGGAGTGTGCAGTAAATGATCTCTTGTTTAATTCTTTATCAATCTCGAATATAACATTATAGTCTTCTTTATCGTCTAGTAATCCCGTAAAGTCTTTTGATGGTTTTTCTAGAAATTTTAGTTTCATTTTTTAAGAATTATGTACAGTAGGTGCACAAATTCGATCGGATATACTGTAAAGCCCTACACAGTTACACAATCGTTGCATTATGCCTCAACTACAGTACTATAATAAAAAACATGTATATATTCTTAATTTAAAATACTGTATATTCTGTAGATGACACATCCTGTTTATCAGTGACGACTCTGGTTTGTTTTTTTAATCTTTTCGAAGTCGCGCCTTAATTTTGCTACTTCGACTTTAAGCTCAGCATTCTCTTCTATAGCCTATTTTGGCTTTTCATTTTCAAAATTTTCCTCTTCGAGCTCAATGATACGTTTTAATAAATTTAATTTGGATTGCATGATTAATTACTGTACAACTTTTATACATATACATATTCAGATTTATTCAAAACTTCGAATCTAAATTATTATCCCGAAAAATTATTAACTTTTTGCGATCTCTTTTGCCAAGAAAAATTCGACTTTCTCGATAAGAAGCAAAAAATAATTTAGACTGTACCATAAGTACATCAATGTGAGAATTTTATTAAAAAGTTTATAGCCATTATATTAAGAATCTTTATATGTTTTGTAAATTAATCCTAGCTATTACAACTAACTAATAGTATTAACTGTCACCAGGTGAGTGGGTACATACTAGTAGTGTTGAATTGCTAATACCTATTCAAAATGATGTAATAATTGCAGGATTAAAAATTTTTTTGTTAGTTAAGTTATTATTGATTTCTAATGTATTGAGTACTTTATAGAAGATTATGCTATAAGATATATTATTGTGCTCTGTTATTGTAGCTTTGGTTTTTTTCTTTTTTATTCTTAAGAAAAGTAATGTAGTAGTAATAACAGATCTTTCTAATCAGACTTTGTGTAGAATTTTAAATATCTTGTTAAAAAATATGGTTTTGTTTTCTTGAATTTTGTCAAGTAGAGTTTTCAGATTTCCAAGTGTGAAATTGATTATACTGGAAGTGGTTATTGAAATAAAGTTGGATTATATTGTTATGGTATAATTAGTTGTGTCAAGGGAATTTTTGTTTAGCAGAGTAATGAGTTTCTCTCTTTTTTTTCTGATTGTTGAAAAAGCATAAGTGTATGTGAAAATATGCGATTAATTTTTTAAATATGTCTCATACCATGAGCAAAGATTATTTTTATATAGGTTAGGGTACTTTTATGGAGTTTTGTTCTTATTGATAGCTGATTGGCAATAAGTTTAATATTGAAGACTAACAGGCTCCTGAATTTTAGCTGGTTATTTTTATGCAATTTTTTGTTTGCTTTGGAAATGAGTTTAAAAGTTGATATTGTTATAGGTTTGTAGATTGCTAACTAACTGAGTATAATATCAAAAAAGTTGGTATGGTAGTTAATGAATTTGATCTATTGTATTGTACTTGTGGAATTGATGCAGTTCTTGAGAGGAGAGATATCATATGTATCAAGAAATATTTGTGAAATTGATAGCTTGTCCTCTGGATCAAGTAGTAGCAATTTTTTAAGCTCTTTTTTTGTGATCCATTCAATTGCAATATTTTTGCTTTTAACTTTCATGTTTGTTAATCCAATAAATCTGCTGAATAGTACTTTAACTTATCCAAAGAGGTTTAAGTTTGAAGCAGTTTGAAATTAGCATTGGATTTTTTATTTGAATAGAATTTCCTGGAAGGTTTTTAATAGTACTGGCCAGAATAATTTCCAAGAGTTGACATTTAACTCATATAGATATAATGTATTTGGTTTTTGTATAATTATTTTTTTTGTAATAAAGAAAATGAAATGATTGCAGATATTGATAGAGATTCTGAAGATTTGGTTATTAGATTTGTAGTATAAGAGATAGTATAGGAATAAATTGAATAAGAAGTTTGTTAAAATTGTTTAAGAAAATTGAATGATAGTTTTGTGTTATGGTTTATGTTAATCTGATGAAATCTAATTTTTTTTTAACAATACATAGTTTTGTATTGCAACTATATAATAAAATTATTTTGTTAGTAGAGATTTGATAATAATATACTTTAATTAATTGCCTTTGTACTATATTCCTCTAGATTTTGATTATATCAATTGTGCTGTTGTTAATAAAGGTTCAAAATTGAGTTTTTTAGATTTGATAAGAAAAGTATATTCCCTATAAGATTGTTATTGACTTGTAAGAGATTGTTAAATCCTTTTAGAATTGTACCAGTGGATATATAGTCACTATTGTATGAAATTTGTCTTATAAAAGGTTATTGTGACTATTGTAGATATAAGTGCTTTTGATTGTTTTAATATTATTATAGAAGAGTGATAGAATTGTAATTTTGTTGACTATAGTTAACAGGTCTTTTGAGTGTTTATGATCAAGAATTTCAAATAGATATAAATATGGACAAATGCTAATACTGTATTTTTTTGCTATTTGTACTGCTGATGTTATCCAATATTTCTTGAAGTAATATGAATTATGGATAGAACAGATCCATATAATATGAGATGCTTGAAGTAATTTGACTTTCTTTATGAAAGAAATATATGTTTTTTTGTTGGTAAATTTAGTTATTAAAGGTTTTATTGCAGTTAGATTGATTTTATCTTGAAGTTTAGTCACATTTAATTCTGCTTGTAAATATAGGACTTTGTTTGAGATGGTTTTTTTTACTTCCAATTTGAATTTGATAGTCTTGTTGAATTTTGTTTGTAAAGCTTTAGTATTATTTTCATTTGATATAATTGCTTAATTGCATACTCAATTTGTGCTGGATGATCTACTGGGAGGCTTTATTTATCATAGGTTCATTTTAACTTTTTTGATTAGCTATTGCTATAGTAAAATATTGACTTTGTCCTTGAGCAGCCATTTGTTGTGTGTGATAATAATTTGTCAGTGATAGATGCCAAGATATCTAAACAATTCATTATAGGGTTTGATGTGAATTGGTTGATATTTGACAAATAGAACTTGGTTTTTCAGCTTATTTTTCATTTTTAGATTAAGATATTTATTTGCTGCAACTGTTATTGCTCTATTTTTATTATTACTAATCAGGCATAATGTTAAATCAGTAAATTTATTAAATATATAATAATAATACTTTTCATTACTGTATTTCATAGTTAAGATAAGACAATCCTTCAATATTTGTTGCAGAAATAAGATGGTCATTTTATAGATTTTTTGGTTGACATTTACAGTGCGATCCATAAGTATCCAGAAAATTAGCTACAGAAAAAAAAAAGATGTAACTCTGTCAAATTAAAACTGATTTTCATGATCTAAGATAAAAAAGAATCAGCAGATACATGGAAATCTTCGTGTGCTTTTTCGTGATATCAATCATTAGTTTTTTTTTGAGAAATTCTTCTATATAATCATGACTTCTAAGCAAGAAACTAACCATCAATTCATTTTACAATTGTGGACTCAGGGAATTTGGAACGCCAAAGAAATTCAGAGTATAACTAACATAGCCTTGTCTACAATATATGAGAATATCAATAAATTCAAAAAAAATAACACGAATGTGCATGCCGGAAGCAAAGGTAGGCCCAAGAAGATAATGGCGAGAGCATCAAAGGCATTAGAACAATATATACAAAGGGATTCATCTATTTCAACGAGAACCCTGGTGGCAAAGTTGTTAAAAATCAATGTAAAAGTATCTTATCAAACAATTGGAAGGCATTTGGCTGCTCTTGGATACAAAAAAAACATTCCAATAGCAACTCCAATGCTTATCAACATCCATAAGCATAAATGTATGAAATGGGCCCAAAAGCATTTAGATGACAATTGGAATAATACATTTTTTTCAGATAAGATGGCCTTTTTACTTTTTTGAAATACAGTGGAGCACTGATATAAAGGAGCACGGCCAATACGACACTTGCCTAAGGATTGAATAAAGATCTTCACGTGGGGAGAATTTTGCATAAAGGATAAAAATAGTTTATTTTGTTTTTCAGAAATTATGGATGCCAAACTTTATGTCAATATTCTTCGCAGACATATTCCAGAGATTGAGAAATTATTAGGTGATGAATGGCGGTTTCAGCAAGATAATGACCCAAAACATATGAGTTGTCTTTCTAAGACATTTCTTCAGAAGAATATACCCGAAGTTTTGGACTGGCCTTCTAACAGTCCCAATCTAAACCCCATCGAAAATCTTTGGGGCATCGTCAAGAATACTGTAGAAAAGCATATGCCAAAATATTTGGATGAATTACGTCGTTTTATGATAGAAGCATGGGGAAGTATTCCTAAATCTACTCTAATTAATTTGGTAGGGTCTATGAAACAATGTTGTGAACTTATTATTGAAAGAAATGGTGACCGTATTTCATATTAAAATTAGTTTAATAAATTGGCTAGTTTTAGCCTTCGTAATGTATAAATTTCACGTGATTTAAATCATTGGTTATGGTGTAGCGAGTAATTTTTTAATTCCGGATACTTATGGACCACACTGTACATGACGAGCTTATCTTTGCTTTTGAATGAGAGGGTTGGAGGTCTGGGATTTGATAAGTATATTTGCTAGAGGTGTACATGGTATGTTTATTTTGGTTATTTTTGAATATTTTTAATTGTTTTCAGTGAAAATGGTTTTTATAACTCACTAAATAGCTTAAGAATTTTTTTCTCTCTCCATGTTTAAATCCACAAGGAAACAGGTGAAACGTCAGGTAGATGTCGTAGCATTTCTTTGTATATCCAAGATCTCACTGTTTTTTCTTTAGCCTTACTTTTATCCATAATATCAAGAACTTTGCTTTCGATTTCAAGAGAATAATTATAACGACGTAAAATTTTCTTTATGACCTCCTTGGTTACTTTTTCAAACAAGCAAGCAAAGCTTGGTGCAAACTCTGGAATTAAAGTCTTCTAAATTTTGTTTGCACAAGAATCATTAATTTGGCATGAGTGACTGCTTGCGTCGATATCCTTCCCGTCTTTACTCTATAATTATCGCAGGATCTTAATTCTTGTATCAAGCCCTGTTTTACAACTTTTCTCTTTTCAAGCTTGATAAGGTCATCATGATACTCATCATCAGGACCGATTTATATCAGCTCGGAAGATTTTGACAAAGCTTTTTTCGGTCAACACCAAATGGGTGAGTGTCGTCGGAATCAACATTGTCAAAGGGGTACAGTATTATGCGTCTCTTAATCTCGAAGCATTTTCTCCCTGATGCTTTTCTTATCTCCTTACTAATCTTTTCTTTATGTTTTGAATCTACGAATTTGTCAACCTCCTTATCTTCAAATAGAAAGAAGTTGTATTCGCTATCGGTTTGGTTCTGCTCTCAATAGGTGATGGTAGGATTATTGACTAACCGGCAAGCACGAAATACTGTATAGACTATTTGTACACAGTTTCTATTATCGAGAGTTGACCGTAAATGCAAGCTTTGTTTGACTTGGACATACAGTCTCGTCGGTGTACTTAGGGAGGTCTTACGGTGTTTGAATTAATAGTTATTACATAAAATTATTTTATATTGTTTTTTTTGAACATCAATGTATATAGTTATTATATAGAATATATACAGTATATGTTTTTTTTGGAAACATTATAAGCTTTTTATTGCATTGAGTTTATGGAGATCAAAGTAGGATGGAAACTCAATTAATAAGATTCTCTGGAGGTTTGGTCGAGATGGTTTTATGTTTATTGGTATCTTCTTAGGTGAACGCAAATTCTTGATGCATGACAATTTTTTTGACTTTTGGAAAAAAAATACGGGAACGCTAAAAAAAGTAATCATTGTTTTCTTTCAACACACGGTTATTAAAATTATGTAATGTTCACGAAAGGATATGAAAGGGGTAATATTTATAAGATCGAATGTTACACTTGTTTAATCGAACTTGTATATCCCATCACCTTGTAAGAGGAAGTATTTAAATTATCAATTTAATTATTTACTTTAATTTGTTTTGATTTATCATCTTTTTTATCTGTACGTTTTACATCAAAATAAATAGGCAATAGTTAGTGACTATGACTGCATTATTTTACTTTTTACTTTTTCCATTTTGACTGAGTTATTTATTTGATTTTCTTTGCATTACTATAGCATAAATATTGTGCTATTTTTATTTTAAAAAAATGCACATTAAAAAGAAAGGAAAGAGAAAGTTAAAAACAAATTAATTTAAGAAATAGTATAATAATACATTAAAAAATTTATTATCGGTCTAATAGTAATATAAAAAAACTAATCATAAAAAGTATGGGCATGTATACTAAAATATGTCTGTATACATTCCTGATTTATCAGATCAATGTTTTGCCTTCTCTTTATTTTTCCTGGCCCCAATCCCATTACGATAACAAATTCCAAGGTTTTTTTGTCCTACACGATTTCCACCTTCAGCAAATTTCAGGTACCATTTAAATGCCTTTTTATTGTCTTGAGTGGTTCCAACTCCCTTTTCATAACAATATCCAAGATTACATTGTCCAATGACATTTCCACCTTCAGCAGATTTCTGGTACCAATGAAATGCTTTTTCATAGTCTTGAGTGGTTCCAATTCCATTTTCATAACAACATCCAAGATTACATTGTCCAATGACGTTTCCACCTTCAGCAGATTTCTGGTACCACTTAAATGCTTTTTCATTGTCTTGAGTGGTTCCAATTCCATTTTCATAACAATATCCAAGATTACATTGTCCACCAAAATTTCCACCTTCAGCAGATTTCCGATACCATTGAAATGCTCTTTTATTGTCTTGAGTGGTTCCAATTCCATTGCGATAACAATATCCTAGATTTTTTTGTCCATCGGTATTTTCACCTTTAGCAGATTTCTGGTACCACTGAAATGCTTTCTTATTGTCTTGAGTGGTTCCAATTTCATATTGATAACAATATCCAAGATTACATTGTCCACTGACATTTTCACCTTCAGCAGATTTCTGGTACCACTGAAATGCCTTTTCATTGTCTTGAGTGGTTCCAAATCCATATCGATAACAATAACCAAGATTACATTGTCCACTGACATTTCCACCTTCAGCAGATTTCTGGTACCACCGAAATGCTTTTTCATTATCTTGAGTGGTTCCAATTCCATATTGATAACAAAATCCAAGATTACATTGTCCACTGACATTTCCACCTTTAGCAGATTTCAGATACCATTGAAATGCTTTTTCATTGTCTTGAATGGTTCCAATTCCATTTTGAAAAAAAACTCCGAGGATCATTGTATTTTGAGGGGTTTCCTGTCGGTTAGTTAATAAATTTAAAATTTGTATAGAAGTTGTCTGATTGTTTTTAATAAAGGTATTAATACAAGTTGTTAATTTCGAATCAGAAGGTCTTTTACTTATTTGATCGACAATAAGTTGATATAATTCGTCTAATGTGTTATGCTCACAATACCCAAGTTCATCTGAGGTTTTTATAGTTTCTAATTTTGAAAATGACTCACTCGTTCTTTTTGGAAGTTTTTGAATGATCACCGATCTTGCAGGTAAAATAATGGACTTTATTTCTTTATCGGGAATAAGAAACTTATCCATTATATCATTCCAAAGTTGTTTTTCTAAAATCTTCTTATACGGTTTTAATTTATTAGCAACA